GGGGGGGAGGAGGAGGAGGGAGGGGAATTCGTCGGGCAAACAAGACGAAAGGGAACGACTTCCAGAGCGGCGGATTAAACCAAAACAAAAACAAATTTTAGAAAAGAAGGGCAAACAACAATAGCCAGAACGCCAATGTTATTGGGGAAAGAAGGGAAATTAGGTACCAGAAGAGGTGCCGGGAGGGGAGGGGGGGTGGTGAATGGAACAAAATGTGAAGCCCAACGCAACGCAACGCAACGCAATGCAACGCAACGAGTTCCCCGGACTGATTCAAGCATGCAAGAGAATAGGGGAGGAGGGGAGGAGGTTCCTCCCAAAACAAGCGCCCCTTGCGCGCGCTTACCCACAGCTTACTTGCCCGATGGACGGGCTCCGATCCCGTGCCTGGACCGCCCAGTAGGCCAGAGAGGAACTTGACCAGATACAGGGTACAGCAGGGCTTAGGGCCCAGGGTCAGGGCCCATATCTTCAGGTGATAAGTGATTCCAGTTGAAAGATCAAAAGATCCATAATCTGGAACTAATCCCAACCAAGGAAGCTCAAGAACCGCCCGGCGGGTCTGCGACCACCACTACTACGCAGAGTGGCTGTGAATGGCTGATCCCTTCGTCACCTTACATTAGACTATCACTTAGTATGTGTTAGCTGACCAGTTGACTGTCAGGCAATGGAATCTCCTCCGTCATCACCCGAAGTTTCCCCCACTCACTTGCCTCTTTGGGTCCCTTCTTCTCCCGATCTTCTCTCTACTCTACTCTGAGTACACCTTTTTTCCCTTTCTTCCTTTCTTCCCATTCATCATCAGTCAATGATTCAATGGGCCCTCCTTCCTGCTGCTGCAAGAGGATTGCTTTTTTGGTCCGATCAGCTCACTCAGTGACGCTAAGCTGCACCTTGGTTGCACTGAATACCTCATTTCTGGGGATTCTTCGTTTCTTCGTTTCTTCTTTTGGAGCTTAGCTTCCCTCCTATCGGATCGGGACCCTCCGATAATTTAACTGCTTTTACTAAGTACTTCTTACTCTTCTTCTCCTCTTTTTGTCCCTCTACGACTCCCACCCACCGGCCACTACCACTCGATCAGATCTCACCCCTCCCGACACTCACCTTCATATTCACCATTCACCTTTCACCCTTCTCCTTTCCCTCTTTCATGCTTCTCACTCCCTCTCAAAAGTCTTCTACAAGTTTATCTAGAGATAGACCTCTTTTCTCCACCTCGTCATTCCTCTCTTCTTTTCATAGACTTGCCGCTCTTCTGGCGGGTGGAAGGGCTGGAAGGGCATGGCTCAGACGGGAAGACCCAACACACTGGCAGAGTTGAAGCTTGAGACGTCTTTCCAACATACACCTCGACTCCGATGGCGGAGTGAGGCCGAAGGCGGAGGAGCGACGGATGGCGATCGTACAAACATCTTTCACGATTATCACCCACCCCGTGGCGGTACTAATCAAGACAGCAGTGTTTTGAGTGGCTTACACTCGGCGACACCTCCTATCTCCGTTCCTCGTCATCATGATCTTCCCGACCCAGAAGATGTCAGCTATCCTCACAAACCCGAGGATGTGCAGGCCTCTCCGCTGGACAGCTTTCTGCAGCAAGAACGCCGGCCCTCGATCAGCTTTGACCCCATCGTGGCCCTGGACTCCGGTCGACGCCTGCCTCTCGAAGAGCCTCTGGCCGGTCGGCCACAAAAGTTCCAGTCGCGCAGCTCGAGCTTGAGGAACACTCTACGTCAGGAGGACGGACCCGACGATCACGACCGCCAGTCGGACCTTAGTTCAAGTCCGGAAAGGCAGCGACGCCAGCGGCCCATCCCTACCGGTTCTTCGCGGGGCAGCTTTCCGGAAGAAGAGGAAAACGCCGTGGCCTCGGAGATCGAACACCCGACCTCTCTCACCTCGAGATCAACCGCGTCCCCGATGACTGAAGAAATCCGAACTCCGTCGGAGGGTTCAAGGATGCTGTCTTCGCCGGTTTACATGGCATCGCCCGTACAGGGGTTTGCCTCGCTTGACGATCGCAGCTCTTGGTCGGGAAGTGCTGTGACTCCCTTTGGGAGCAAGGCAAGGGGCCTTCGTCTTTCTACTCGACAACGGTCGCGCAGATCTACCGCTTCTAGTGGCAAATCCCCTGCCAGCATGTTCCTTTCCATGTGGAGCGCCGGTGGGGAGGAGTCTGCGCCGCAACCTGATGACGAAGGCCAGATGGTCGGGACGGATTATGTCCTTGGCAAACAGATCGGCTTCGGGGGGTTCAGCACTGTGAAAGAAGCGTACAAGGTCGAAGAGGATGGCAAGACCAAACACCTCGCCGTCAAGATTGTCAAAAAACAGGTTTCGGGCAAGAGTGAGAAGGAAAACGATGAGGTTCAAGCAGAATTCGACCACGAAGTCCGAGTTTGGCGCTACCTCAGCCACCCTAACGTCCTGACCTTGGATGCTGTGTACGAGACTGATTTTGCTACGTTTTGTTTTACGAAGCTCGCGATCGGCGGCACTCTTTTCGATCTTGTTCGCCAAAATCGAGGTGGTCTGGACCTCAAGCTTGCCAAGAAGTACTCATATCAGCTTGCCTGTGCACTTCGATACTTGCATGAGGACGCTCGGGTTGTGCATCGGGATATCAAGCTGGAGAACTGCCTGCTGGATCCCACCGAATCGCCCGATGGATCCGAGGTCTCAAACCTAGTGCTCTGCGATTTTGGCATGGCGGAGTGGATGCATACGGACAACGACGGCTCGTCGCCTGATCCGTACGATAATGTGGCGGATCGACCGCCTCCGAAGAATATCGGGCCGGCTGGATCCAGCACCAGCGTTGCGGGAAGTCTGGAGTATGCTTCCCCGGAGCTGCTCCTCTCGACCAACGGAGTCATCCATCCTTCGGTCGATCTTTGGGCGTTTGGAGTCATCGTCTACACCATGATCGTTGGCTCCCGGCCGTTTCAAGATCCGTTCGCGCCGCGCATCCAGAACAATATTCTCAATGGGCACTGGAACCAACACGCCGTCCTTGGCGATGAAGAAGCGGATGCTCCCACTCGGCAGGAGCGGGAAGATGCGCTTGAGGTGGTTAAAGGATGTTTGCAGATGGATCCGGCCAAACGTTGGGCCATCCGTGATGTACTTTGCTCCCGGTGGATGCGAGAGTTCTCTCAGAACGCCGACGGCAGCCCCACCGAGTCCATTTGGAAACTTTGAGGAAGAATGGGCTGCGGTGAAGCCTTGATGGCGCTATACTTATGACCTTCAGATGACTACGGGCTAGCGCGCGCGCATTGCGCCCGGTTCTTCATCCATGATACCCTCTTTTATGTTCACAGCGGGTTTATGATATATCCAGTATTTGACTTTTGAGCGCGTCTTTCGGTATACCTTTTGTGTTTTTAAGAGGGCTTGGGACCATACACAATTTGCAAGGCGATTGCATGGCGTTTTTTTGGGGGGGGGGGTGTTTTCCTTGGGGTGTATTGATATCCAGGTGGCTTTTCTGTTGCGGTTGTTGCGAGCGACCGGCTTCCACTGCGATGGTGACCTTGCTAATGAGGGGAGAATGAGCACGGGAAGTTTGTCAAGATACCGAGAATGCTCCACTTTACGAATGTTAATGACTCCACTATCTTTTTGAGGCTGTACGCTGCTAGGCGTCGCTACTGGAATCGCGCACAAGATCAACATACATAGCTGGTTTCCTCGGACTGGATCTAGGTGGAATCAGTTATAAATTATGCTGGCTGCTCTGAGTGCTTCCGCCAGTATCTCTATAGCCTGTAGCCGAAATAGAGGATCTCTAGCAAATGACGGTTCAGTTTGAGGTGGAAATCTGCATACCTTACTATCTTTAAATAATGATCAAGACTCCTTCCTCCACTTGACTACAACCAAAAATTCTAACGACTTCCACAAGTGCACCGACAGTACACCATCCACGAGGATATACGAAAGAAAAAAAAAAAGAGGAGAAGAAAAGAAAATGCATATCCACGATAACCGTATAACAGAAACATATTTATACAAATACAAGAGAAAAAACCAAAGATCTTTCACAAGTCCAAACAACCCTGTTCACACACACCTTACAGAAACCACACACACCAACCCCCAACTATACCCAAACCTCCCCCTCGCCCCCCCCTTTGCCTCCCCCGAATAATCAACCCAGAACAAAGACAAACAACCTACCACAACCGATTCTCCGGCAGGACCTTCTCCTTGTGCGCGCCGGCAGCGGTCTTGCGCTCGACGGGCGACCGGAAGAACAAACTGGGGCCCTCCATGGGCTTGAGCAGGTGGCTCAGGTAGCCGCGGTGGGCGGGGTCACGGTAGTACTCGATGTCGCGGCGCTTGGTGGGGTCGGGCAGGCGGTAGGTGAAGCCCATGGCGCGCATGATCTCGCTCTCGACGAGCTGGCCGGCGGCGTCGCTGTCGAGGCCCTCGGCGGCAAGGAGGCCCGCGGGAGCGCTGCGCGCCGTCCACGCCGTCGACACGAACGGGTGCATCTCGCGCTTCAGGATGCGGCGGATCGCGCGCGGCGTGTAGAAGCGCGTGGTCACGGTGCCGCCGGCGGCTTCGACGGCGGCGATGGCGGCGGCCGAGGCGCGCGAGACCACGATGTGGATGGGTTGTTTGAGGACGTTGATGGTGGTGTCTTCGGATGTAGAGGTGGATTCGGGGGTGGTGGATTCGGAGGTGGTGGAGGTTGAGGGGGAGGTGGTGGTAGTGCTGCTGCTAGGGGCGATGACGGCGCCCTTCTCATCCTTCAGGACGCCGCGGCCCAGGAGCTTCACGCCCTCCTTGGTCTGGTGGATGCAGCGCGAATCGAAAAGCTCGCGGATGGTGATCGGGCGGGTCGGGTCGATGCGGCCTTGGTCGATCCAGTCTTGGATGCGGTTGAGGTTGATGGGGGCTAGCTCGATGGCGTGGCTGGGAGAGGTTAGTGGTGTATATCATAGAGAAAGGAGGTTTGGAGGGGGATTGGGGACATTGGGACATCCAGGGACAGCTTGAGAGTCGGTTGCGTGAGGATTTATCGCGAATGGGAAGCTCTTCCACGATCATTCTTTGCAATGTGAAAGCGCTTCTGCAATTCGACCTCACTATCGAGGAATCCTCAAACAAGCACACCCCAATTCCAAGAGAGGAATCCCAATGACGCAGGAATCCAATCCCACGACCTCCCACCTCATTCCCTAACTCAAAGGTAAGAATGCAAACATACATATTGTTATATCCCCGCTCCCCGTGCACAACAATGTCCGGCGTCTGTCCACCATTGAACCCCGCGGGCACCTTGCCGTGCTGCTTCTGACCCTTGTGACCGCGACCGGAGGTCTTACCCTTGCCGGAAGCCGGACCGCGACCGCGACGGATGCGTTTGTTGTAGGCCCCCGCGTTGTCGGAGAGCGAGGCCAGGATGTGTGCGTTGCGGGATTGTTGGAAGCCGGCCAGCAGGAAGGTCAGAGGGTTGGCGGTGGTGCTGGCGGCGGCGGCCGTGGTGATGGGCGTCGCGGACGTGAGCGCCCGGAAGGGGAGGAGCTGGAGCCGGGGAGGCATGGCGGGGCCGACTTCAATTGTGATGCTTGGGGAGTGTGGAGAGTGAGGTGAAGTGGTTGAGTTTGGAGGTTTGTCGCCGCGGAAGTCGAAGTCCACTGAGAGACAAGATCTTTCCGTTGAGATGGGAAGTTTTTTGCGGCCTGAGGCATGAAGGGCTCTATGGGTGTCGGAGGAATCTCGGCCCGGGATGACTGTTCTCGTGCGGTGATTGGTTCTTTTCTGGAGTACATTTCTATCGTACTGTGAAATTTGTAGGTCGTGTAGTTTTTAATGTTATGGCTTTCAAAATACCAGGCAAGTGCACAGTGTACTCGGTATCCTCATTTGAAGTCACTATAGATCAATTTTACTCCGATCCCCATAGGTCATCACTCGAGTTGCCGTCTCACCTACAACCAGAAGCCAGTACGCCGAGACATAGTAAACCTCTTCTGTGGACTAAGCTAGACAAGTGACCTGTGTTCTCTCGGAACTACCATGCTTTTAAGCTTTGGTCTTATCTCTGGGTTCTAGGCTTACCTGGACAAGCCTCCTAGCATTTCGGTACCCATGTCGATTGTTTGGCAGTGAACGAGTTCAATAAGGCAGATATGGATATAGTGCACCACTAATAGGTCTGATATGCTTTGTACCTGTGGAGTCGATAGTCAAGCTGTGTTGACCTTGTCGTTATCATCATCGTATACATAAGTAACGCCCATCACCCTCCCTGCGTTTCCTTCAGAAGTGTTCCTATTGCTCACCAGCTCAACTTCGCCATACTAGCTGTATGTCCGTTCTGTTCTTTTCCTCACTACTCATTCAGTAAAACTGACTTACCAAAATAAAGGGTATAAAGGTAAACCGAAGTAAGCGCTGGCCCGGAGACCGGGCAAGCTATTAACTTACTAAATACTACACCGAAATCCTGCGGTTCGCGATATGAGCTCGAGAAGCATCGCGTATGATGTAGAATGCCATCAATCGTTGTTCGAGCACAGCATACAAGGAAGCCTACTCCGTACTCCGTATGATGAGCTTTCCATCCGGCATTTCCTAGGTCAAGGCCTGGAATCGGTCTCTTGACTAACGGGCTTTTGGTTGGAGAGCACAAGAAGCTGCTCGCTCCGCTCATCACCTTGACCAGCTATCAGCTATGTATAGTCCTACAAATAACCAGCCCATAGTCCGGGTGACAGTCACAACCAAATCGCCGGTATTGTAGCAGGAGTAGTCTGGAGTCGAGCAGATAACTGCAGCTGAGCGAGTTGCAAGTTCTGGATCGCTTCTCAATGCAGGCCAGGTCGACAGTACGTGGACTGGACTGAACAGTACAGTACCTAAAGTGGTCAGTCAGCACTCACCTCTTCCGGCCGATTTTCTTGTTCTTTGCTTTTCCCTCGTTTGTGACATCTCTTTTTTCAATGGTTGCATGTGCAGGGCGTGAGCAACAACAACAACCAGTCTTCCCTGTAAGGCGAGAGGATGGCTACGGCACTTGCCTGCTTCCGTATTGTACTAATGACTGATCCATTGAATGAGAGGTAGCAGCAGCAGCAGCAGCAGCAGCAAGCCTCAAGCTCCGCGGATGCATCGTTATGTATAGTACTTCAGTCGCGGCCGCATATACGACTTCCACTTCGAGGTAGAGATGTGGATCACCGGCCCGCGAGCTTTGAGGAACGGTCGGTCGGATTGGATTGCTTTCCTTGTTCGAATCAGATCCAGTATCCAGCCAACCTTAGTGAGGAGTACGGTACGGAGTTCACGGAGACAGATTCTGTTCTCTTCATCCCGAAGATGGGCGGCAGCCTGATTGTGTCGGGTCCGCACAATTACGGGGATGACGACAATCCATCCCGACCTTGACGCGCGGTAAGCAAGCAGGCAAGCCCGCAAAAGCAAACGCAAAATCAAAAGCAAAGGGTACGTATGGCTCAGGGTTCAGGCTGCGACGAGACGGTTTTAGATATCATGGTTCGGGGTTGTGGTCTAATGGTGAGACATGATCTGTCTGAAGTTGTTCAGTTAATGGCTGACTTATTTCATGTAAGGTCAAAGTCAACCGAGTCAATCTTGGGGGCTGGGCGAGATGAGCGTGTTTGTGGCCTCTATGTTTTCTCTGCTGTTGATCATTGCGTGGAGATACATCCATCGGTCTGCTGGATGCCACAGGAAAAGGAGGGGGTCAAAGTGGCAGTTGTACCTGTCCTTGTACCTGGTCCTTGTACTTGTACCTGTGCTTGTGCAGGACGCGCTTACCAGCGAACAGCTTATCATCCAAGGATTTCCACGAATCTGGACATATGGTGGGGAGTTGGAAGGAGGAAGGGCAAATCAGATTCTCAGTGCCAGCATTCGGTTGAACAAATTCGTTCAATCCCTGTTTGTTGTTGCCCCATCTGCCGTGCAGTGAGTTGGGTCAAACTGGATAAGTTATCGGTGGTCGCATTGTCAGCCCCAGAAGAAGATAAAGAAAAATCGAAAATCGAAAAGATCGGAAATGCAGAAGAGTTGAAGTGAGCAAGAACTTAGCCAGCCTTGACTGGATAAGAGTCGAAGCCTGGGCCGTGCGCTCGGTTGGATGCAATAGTTGGATGATTTCTAGATGTTTAGGTCTTGCTCATGCATTGTTCATTCGACTCTTGAATTAACAATGCTCGGAACTA